CATGTGGGAATCTCAGAGTCCTCACTATAAATGGCCGGACTCTCAGTCCCATGGCTGTTATAGTGTTAAACAAGAGACCAGGATGTGAAGATGACATTACTATGACCTGGGCCATGTCTTTTTTTTTAAAACACTAAAAGGTACACTTTATTTTTTAAAGATTTTCTTTCTTCATTTTTAAAGAGAGAGGAAGGGAGGGAAAAAGAAAGGGAGAGAAACATTTATATGCAAGAGATATATCAGTTGATCGGCTCTCACAGGCTCCGAGGGGGGGACCTGGCTCAAAATCCATGCATGTGGCCAGGCTAGGAATTGAACTGGCAACCTTTCAGTTCACAGGCCAGTGCTCCATCCACTGAGCAACACCAGCCAGGGATATCTTTTCTTTTAAATAATGAATTTATTGGGGTGACACTGGTTAATTAAATTATGTAGGGTTCAGGTATACAATTCTATATCATCTGCATATTGTATTGTGTGTTTACCACCCCAAGTCAAGTCTCTTCCCATCACCATTTATTCCCCATTCACCCTCTTCTATCTCTCTCCATTCGCACTTCCTTTCCTTCTGGCAATCACCATACTATTGTCTGAGTTCATGAGTCTTTTTTTTTTTTCTTTGCTTAATCCAGTCACCCTTCTCACCAGCCTCCAACCCCTGCCCTCTCTGACAGCTATCAGCCTGTTTTCTGTATTCATGAGTTCTGTCTCTGTTAATTCATTTTGTTCATTAGATTCCACATATAAATGAAATCATATGGTACTTGTGTTTCTCTCATTGGCTTATTTCACTTAGCATAATAGTCTCCAGGTCCATCCATGCAGTCACAAAAGGTAAGAGTTCCTTCTTTGTTTTACAGCCAAAAAGTATTCCATTGTGTAAATGTACCACAGCTGTTATATCCACTCATCTACTAATGGGCACTTGGGCTACTTCCAAATATTGGCTATTGTAAGTAATGCTGCAATAAATATAGGGGTGCATATATTATTTCAAATTAGTGCTTCATCTTTCTCTGGATATATTCCCAGAAGTGAAATTGTGGGGTCATAAGGCAATTCCATTTTTAAAATTTTTTTAGGTAACTTCATTCTGCTTTCCACACTGACTACACCAGTCTGCATTCCCGCCAGCAGGGAACTAGGGTTCCCTTTTGTCCACCTCTTTGTGAGCACCTGTTGTTTGTTGATTTATTGATGATAGCCATTCTGACAGGTGTAAGGTGATATCTCATTTTTGTTTTAACTTGCATTTCTCCAATGATTAGTGATGATGAGCATCCTTTCCTATGTCTATTGGTCATCTGTATGTCTTCTGTGGAGAAGTGTGTTAATCAGGTCCTTTGCCCATTTCTTAAGCAAATTGGTTGGTTTTTTTCCCTTCTCATTTGTATAAGTTCCTTATAAATTTTGGATATTAACCCCTTATCAGATGTATCATAGATGAATATGTTCTCTCATTCAGTGGTTTTTTTTCCCACTTTTGTTGATGGTTTCTTTTGCTGTGCAAAAACTTTTTAGTATGATGTAATTTCATTTGTTCATTTTTTCTTTTGCTTCCCTTGCCCAAGGTATATCAGGAAAAAATATTTTTATAAAAAATGGTCAAGATCTCACTGCCTACATTTTTTTTCTAGAATTGTTATGGTTTTGAGTCTAACATTTAAGTCTTAAATTCATTTTTAGCTTATTCTTGTGTATGGTGTAAGAAGGCAATCTATTTCCTTTTCTTTTTCTTTTTTGCATTTATCTGTCCAATTTCCCAACATCATTTATTGAATAGACCATTTTTACCTTATTGTATGATTTTATCTCCTTTGTCAAATACTAATTGACTATAAAAGCATTGGTTTATTTCTGGGCTCTCTATTCTGTTCCATTGATCTATATGTCTGTTTTTATGCCAGTATGATGCTGTTTTGATTACTATGGCCTTAGAGTATAGTTTGATATCAGGTAGTGTGATTTCTCCAACTTTGTTTTTTTTTTTTTCTGAGAATTGCTCAGGGTTTACTGTGGTTCCATATAAATTTTTGGAACCATTTAAATTTGTGGTTCCATATAAATATTTGTTCTAGTTCTGTGAAATATACCATTAGTATCTTGATAGGAAGTGCATTGAATCTATAGATTGTTTTGGGTAGTATGGACATTTTAATGATGTTAATTCTTCTTATTCATAAACACAGTATATTCTTCCACTTATCTATATCTTCTTCAATTTCTTTTTTCAGTGTCTTATAATTTTCTGAGTACATCCTTGGTTAAATTTATTCCTAAATATTTTTGAAGCAATTGTAAACAGAATTGTTTTCTTAGTTTCCCTTTCTGATAGTTCATTATTGGCGTATAAAAGTGTAACTGATTTCTGGATATTTATTTTGTATCCTGTTACTTTGCTGAATTCATTTATTAGTTCTAGTAGTTTTTGGAGGAATCTTTAGGATTCTCTATATACAGTGTCATGTCATCTGCAAATAATGACACTTTTACTTCTTCCTTTCCAATTTGAATGCCTTTTATGTCTTCTTGTCTGCTTGCTATGGCTGGAACTTCCAGTACTATGTTGAATAAAAGTCGTGAAAGCAAACATCCCTGTCTTGTTCTTGATCTTAAGGGAAACACTTTTAATTTTTTCCCTTGGGTCATTTCTTGTGGCATCAGGATTGTTTGGTTAATCTGGTTGAGTGTCTAAATACTGAAAAGTGCACAGATTTACACACAGGTACATTCGCATAATGTAAACATCACAGAGATACCCAAATAGTCTCATACACATTGAATATCATAGAAACAAACATTGGGTATTATTCAGGGATAAACATTCTCAAAGAAAACATGCAGAGAGACAGAGGAATTTCCCCAATAATATAGGCCTGGATCCAAAAAGAACCCACAGTCTAAGAGACCTTGACATAGGGATGGAGCCAAGAAAACAAATGCAAATAAAAAAAGACAAAAAATGATGGACAAGAAGGTCAAGAATGGCAGAGAAATCAGACTAATAGGAAGGGGCAAAAACGTGCAGACAATCTCCAAGAGCTCTTACAGTTCTGGAGGTCAGAAGTCTGAAATGGTTGTTACAGTCTAAAATCAAGGTGTCAGCAGGGCCTATGTTCTTTTAGAGAATTCATTTCCTTGTTCTTTGCAGTGTCTGGAGGCCACCCACTTTCTTTGTGCTCTCTTCCTTTCTCAGTCTTCAAAGCCAGCAACATCAGCCAATTACTTTGCATACTTCCCTCTGGTTGTCCTCTTCTGTTTTTGTTCTCCACTTTGAAGGACCCTTGAGATTATATTAGACCCACTTGGGTAATCTGGAATAATCTCCCTACTTTAAACTCCACTGATTAGCAACTTTAATCCCATATGAAAACTTAATTCTGCTTTGCCATATAAGGTCACATATTCACATGTTCCAGGAATTTAGGATATGAACATCTTTAGGGGACCATTATTCCACTGTCAGAACATAGAAGCCCATCTTTTACATAATAGATTTGGTCATATCTGAAGTCTTTACTTGGGAATCTGTGTTTTTTATGAGCATTGAGCTGGGAGATTTGTTTTAAGATGATTATACATGTCTTTATTTGTGTTAGTTTATCAGGGTGTCATATTTGAATGTCTCCCTATAACTATGCAGGGGCAGAAGGATACCTGGAGGGGATGCCTAATATAGTGCTATGGCTCCATAAAGATATATTGCTGTTGTATTTTTGTTCTTGTTGATAATAAAACTAATGACAGAGGGTCTCTGCATGTTTTCTTTGAATATATCTATCTGTCCCTAAATAATACCTGGTATTGTCTGTATGGTATTCGGTGTGTATGACACTCTTTGGGCATCTCTGTGATGTTTGCATTGTGTAAATGTACCTGTCTGTAAGTCTGTGCACTTTGGGGCATTTAGACATTGATGAGTGTGCATGCATGTTTATACAACAGTGTGTATGATCATAGTAGTAGACATCTGAATGCTTAGTTATTCACAAACCCCCAAGAGTATCCAGACAAAAAGACCCAGCTAGAGACAGGTGGAGAAGCTAGGAAGACAAGGGAGCAGAGAGGAAGGTAGGAAAGATGAGTAGAGGAGGGTAAAGGAAGGAGGAGACAGAGATGGAGGTGAGGAAAGGGCACAAGGAGAGATGGGGGGGGGATCAGAAAGCAGAAAGGAGTTCTAGGGATCTGAAATGAAAAAGAGACTGGTGGAGCCACAGAAAGGACGCAGATTAGAAGACATGGGTATGGCTCCACTTCTGGTCATTCGCTTGCTGTGTGACCTTGGCAATGCCAACTCTCTGGCCTCAGTTTACCAAGAAATTTGAAATAATAACCCTTGGGTACATTCCAAAAAAGGAGAGAGAAAAAAAGTGGAAATAGAATCATACAGAGGGAAAAACAGAAAGAAAGAACTAGAAAAAGAGACACAGGATGAAAGTAAGGAAAGGGGCCCTGGGAGCCAGCTGAAATAGAGCTGAGAGAGCCCTACCCTGACTCCTTGAGGCACGAGTATGAGCGCCTGCTATCCACCCCTTACCCCAAAGCTTCAGAGTGTCCTTCATTCCTTAAAAGGTAAGGTAGGGAGGTGGAAAGAGAGAGGCACCTGGAATGATATCCACACACCAATACTCAGAGTCCTGCCAAAGCCACACGCAACAGGATCGGTGCTTCCGGCACCAGCCCCCAGATGTAGGTGTGCCAGCCACCTGGAATGACTCACACCCTGGCGATGTAGGCACACATGCCGAAAGCGAGCCTGGGCACCCTGCCCACCCACACACCACAGGCCGAGGGGGAGCTGAGATTCTGGCTCTTCACGGGGTGAGAGGGGGCTCAGCTACCCTGACCCCAGAGTGTTGCCCCCAGTGATCACTTTCCTGGTTTGACGATCCGGTGTCCTTTTCTCCCCCCCCCCCCCCCAAACCTTACTCAGGACGCGGGAGAACCAGATGAGATGTTACGCAAGGCCTAATGTTTACTTCCCGCAGGGGCCTCCTCCCTCCCTATAAAGCCTGACGTGGTGGGAAGATTGGAGACTGGGACTGCATGAAGAGAGAGGCAATATCAGGAGAGGGGCAAGAAGAGTCAGAAAGTTAATGTAGGAGGAGAGAAAGGCATCAACTCAGCAAGCAGCCGGGACGGTCCACCATCTGCGTTCTCGAAAGCGGTCCAAGGGGTCGCGGAAGGGACAGCACCCTGACCCTGGCTTCCCATGGAGGCGCCGGTGCTGGGCCCAGGGCTGGTAGAGCGTCTGGAGCAGCTGGCTACTTGCCCGCTGTGCGGGGGCCCCTTCGAGGACCCAGTGCTCCTGTCATGTGAGCACAGCTTCTGCCGCGCGTGCCTGGCGCACCGCTGGGGGACTCCGACTGTGACGGGCACCGAGGAGTCTCCCACCGCGTGCCCCTGCTGCGGCCTATTGTGTCCCCGACGCAGCCTGAGGTCCAATGTGCGGCTGGCGGTGGAAGTGCGCATAAGCCGCGGACTTCGAGAGAAGCTGGCCGAGCCTGGGGCCCGCGCTGGAAGACGCCGAGGGGGCCGCATCCCCACCATGGGAAGCCTGGACCCATTCGGAGAGGTGAGACCCCATTAGCTTCATTGGTTTGCGACTGCTGGGGGAAGAGTGAGCTTCATGGGTTCCCTGGAGGAGCGGGGAATGGTACCTCCTGGGGGGGGGTGTTATGGAAGTTGAGGCAAACAGTGGAGTTGAGGCGACAAAAGCGAAGGACGAGGGGCCAGGAGATGACCACGAGTCCTCTAAATGAAGTGAGGTGGCTGGAAAAAACGGGGGAAGGAGTTGACATTTTGCCGCGGGAGAGGGGTGGGGAGATGGCTGGGCGCACGCGTGAGTCCTGTGAGATTGCTGGGGGTAGAGAAGGTGCCGCGGCACCTTCCGGAATGCTAGGACCCCTGGAGCCCCTGCGAAGCAGTGGGGAGGGGAAGCAGTGGAGGGGGAAGCCGACTGGGGCTAAGCGAGCATGGGATCTGGGAGGAGGGTGGGGAGATCAGAACTAACACGGGAGGTGGAACCTGAGGGAGGGCAGAGAAACAGCTGCAGTGGAGGATCAGGGAAGGAGGGTGCTGGGTGAAACAGGGAGGAAGGGAGAGGGGAGCGGATCCAAACGCCTCTGCAGCATGGTGGGCTTAGACCGCGGCGAGCTCAGTGTTGTTTGTTATTGTTGTCCTTAGCTCCTGCCAGAAACCCAGGCAGGGGCAGTCAAGGGTGGAGGCCAAGTCCGAAGAACTGCATTGGGGCCTCTGGCTCCTCCACTTCCCAGCCCTATCACCCACCCACCAGCCTTGCCCCTCTAGAGGCCAACTCCTTGGCCATCAACCAACCCCATTCCGTTGCCTAACCCAACCAGCTTCTCCCTGGAAGCTAAGCCTTCTCCGATCTTGCTCCCACTGCCCAATCCCTTTTTAATCTACGTAGACTTAATCATTCTAGGAACTAGACAAATCGCCTTTCCTTTCTCCTGTTCAACACTATACTGGTCTGCTCCATCCTCCCTGGACCTGGAAGGGAAAAGGAGGAACCCCCCGTACAGGGAGAGAGTGTGGGGTATGTGGTGCTCTCTCCTGGCTCCCATGGACCCCTGCGGATCTGTTGAGCCTTCTGGAACACATCCAAGTCCAGCTGCCTCCTTAGCCAGAGTAGAGAGACTGCAAAGCAAAAGGATCAATGAATGCTACTGGGCTTATATGGCAAGAAGCAAAGCAAATTTATTATTAAGGGTTTTATATACTCACCCTTAAACCAAGGGCTCTGAGTATGTGTTTGGTCTGGGCTACAAGGGGATTCACCCTCAGGAAGGTGAATGAGGACAGTGTCAGAGACAGAGAATGAGGTTATGGGGGCAGCAGGAAAAGGTAAGAACTCTGGTGAGGGGAGCAGGGTGGGAGGCAAGAAAAGGACATGTAGCCATGGCCAGGTGGCTCAGTTGGTTAGAACATCTTCACTTACACCAAAAGTTTGCTGGTTCAGTCCTGGCTGGTGTAGCTCTCAGTGGATTGAGCATGGGCCTGTGAACCAAAGGATTGAGGTTCGATTCCCAGTCAGGGCACAAGCCTGGGTTGCAGGCCAGGTTCCAGCAGGGGACTCGTGAGAGGCAACCATACATTGATATTTCTCTCCCTCTCTCCTTCCCTTCCCCTCTAAAGATAAATAAATAAAATCATTTTAAAAAGTTTGCTGGTTCAATTCCGGGTCAAGGCATATACCTAGGTTGCAGTTTCAATCCCTGCACATACAGGAGGCAACCAAAACTTAACCTCAGGTGAAGATTAAAATTTTAAAAAGGGCATGGATGAGGCTGGGCACTGAGAGCCCTTAGAGAATGGGGAAGGGGAGCATAGTGCCTGGTGGTGTTAGGAAAATGAGAAGTGGTGATGAGAGGAAGGAAGGGTTATGAAGGAGGGTGAGAAGGAGGAATAGGGAGCACAGTGGTAGAGAGGCTATGTGCTGAGAGATGGGGAAGGCCCCCACCAGCTCAGACCCAGCTCACCTGAGTGGGGTGGAGGGGAGGGCTCCCAACAGTATGAAGCTCAGAGCTCATATCCATGTTTTCTTCTACCCACCCAGGATATGAGGAAGACATGGAGAAGGTGAGTTCCATTTTTACTGTTTCTTCCTTTCCACCAGCAGCTGCCATATTCACCGCCAACTCACTGGGCCCACATCTTGGTACCCACTCACAGGTAGTTTTTCAGGATGTGCCTTACCCCTTCCTGCTCCAGAGATTTGAGTTGGGAAGGGGAGGGAGCAACAGAGGGGGCAGAGGGTGTCTACTGGTTTCCTGACCTTCCACCCTCATTTGTCCAGATTTGATGCCCCAACACCCAAGTCATCTAACTCAGAAGACAATCTCCCTGATGATTACCCAGTGGTCAAAAACATGCTTCACAGACTGACAGGTAAGGAGGGCAGAAGGGAGGAAAGTGAGTAAGAGTCTATTTTAGGTTTGCTTTCTTTTCTCCCTCAAAAATAATCAAGCCCTTTTTGATGTAATTAGTTTCCTAGGGATGCTGTAACAAAGCATCATATATTGAGTGGCTTAAACAACAAACTTATTGTCTCACAGTTCCGGAAGTGGAAGTGAAGGTGTTTCTGGTTCCTTCTCTGGGCTGTGACAATCTCTCTCTCCTAGCTCCTGATAGTCTCTGATGTACCTTGGCCTGTAGATGGTATTCTCCTGGTGTCTTCACATTATATTTCCTCTGTATGCATTTGTCTCTGGATCCAAACTTCCCTTTTTTATAAGGACTCCAGTCATATTGGATGAGGGCCCACCCTAGAGACATTTTAACTTGATTACCTCTGTAAAGACTGTTTCCAAATACAGTCACAATGTGAGGTAATAGACTTTAACATGTCTTTTGGGGAGGAAACAGAATTCAACCCATAATAATGTCTATCCTCACTTTCTCATAGTTCAGCCATTCTCCACTCTTACCTTTTCAAACACACAACAGACCCCCAGAGATCAGCTGCCTCTCAAGAAATCTCTGCTTCCACCACTTATCCTCATTCCTCTTCAGAAGGATCACATTTCCCTGCCCCTGGGACTCTGGGTCTTCTCTGCAGCTTCTGGGCAGTTTCTTCCTCAATCCTTCTTAAAGCTGTTCTCTGGAGAAGATGCTTCACCCTCTCAGTCACCACCATCCCACCCAATCCAGATTGCTTCTAGTACCCTGGATCCAGACATTTTTTCTCAAGGCACCCCATACATTCAAAGCCAATACTCTTTCTGATCCCTTTAACCGTCACCAATTTTCCCACTCCTCTAATAGAAACAGGCCTATCCACTCCCACTTATTCCTGTGAGTGGGTGGGCTGGTTTGTCAGGATACCTGGGATTCTTCCCTTTGCCCCTCCCTTCTGACAGCTGGGGTTCCAGTATGTGGTATCAGTCCTGCTCTTTAGCTCCACCTTCCCCATCCTGCTGACCCAGCTCCCAAGCCCCACCCCAGATACTTCAGATGGAGATATCAGTCCTCACTCCTCCCCTGTAAAATCAGCCTCACTCTCCCCCACCCTGCAAACCAGGCCATCTCTCTTTTGATCTCTGCACTGTGCCCCTGCCCTGGACTAGCCAGGTCCTTCTCCAAGTCCAGTTCTACAGAAATAGTAGATTCCATCCACAGATTCTGTCCTGCCTAGCTGCACCTTTCCAACTGTGGGGCCTTTGAAGTGCCTTCTGCTGTGTATTCTTCGTCCTAGCCCACATCTGACTTTGGAAACTCTTCTCACTTTAGTCCTCCCTATCTTGCACTTCCCAGCTGACCTGACTCTGGATCCTGGCACCGCACATCGCTGCCTGCTCATCTCCGCTGACCGCCGGAGCGTCAGACTGGCCCCACCAGGGACACCCGAGCCCCCTGACAGCCCAGCACGCTTCGATCAGCTGCCTGCAGTGCTGGGTGCACAGGGCTTCGGGGCCGGTCGTCACTGCTGGGAGGTAGAGACCGCGGACACCACCTCATGCGGAGATCCTTCTGGGGAGGATGAGGACATGGAGAGTCATTATGCCTTGGGTGCGGCGGGGGAGTCAGTGCGACGCAAGGGCCGTGTAGGATTGTGCCCTGCGGCCTCCGTGTGGGCCCTAGAAGGCCGAGGCAGCCGCCTGTGGGCACTCACGGCACCGGAGCCCACCCTGCTAGGTAGTGCCGGACCCCCACCACAGCGAATTCGTGTGGACTTGGACTGGGAGCGGGGCCGCGTGGCCTTCTATGATGGCCGCTCGCTGGACCTGCTGTTTGCCTTCCAGGCCCCCGGCCCCCTGGGGCAGCGCATCTTCCCACTGTTTTGCACTCGAGACCCGCGTGCCCCGCTGCGCATCGTGCCTGCAGAAGGCTGACAACCACTCCCAGTTTCATGCTAGCTCGGCGCTCAGCGAGGCTTCCTCTGGGCTGGAAACTCCCTATTCATGCAAGGATCGCGTCCACATGCCCACAGCCAGAGTACTGATGTACACCACCCACCAATCTAAACTGTCTCTTTTCTCCCAAGACCTCTCAACTGGACTCTAGTTTCCAAATCCACTCCCAAAACCGAACCCACTCACAACCCCTCCTCTTGGAATGCTTTTCCTCCACAGCTACCCATGTCTCCCCGACCATTTTACACAGCTCCAGGTCTGAGCTGAGGAATAGGCCCTGCCTCATCCTCATCAGTCAACAGCCCATGTTTACTACATTGAGTCCCTCACTCCTCAAATATTTACCTCCCCCTCCTGCCTCTGCTAGTCTCAAATAACCAGTGCCTTCCCCAGAACTTTAAGGCTAGGGCTTTCCTGCCCTATCCACTCTCAAGGGAACAAAACCCCCCTCCTGAAAAAGCAAAAGGCTTGATTAGCTAGGAAGCTTAATATTGGGGATTTTGTGGGAGGGGGGTTGATTCTTTTCCACATGCTTTCCATGTTGTCCTTTCCCACTAAGAACCTTCTTTAAACTGCCCCCTATACATACAATAAGAAACCAATGGTGCTACCTCTCCTTTCCTCAACCTGGGAGTGCTCCATACAGCCGGAAGGCATCCTTGTATACAGCTTCACAGCCTTCCCCATATGTATAAATGGGCCTGTATTTAACACATTTTATGATGGGTTATTTATTTTGTGCATATGTGGCAATAAATGAAATCTCTGGGTGGTACAGATTTGACTGATCTCTGTAGGTATGAGTGGCAAGAGGCCTAGAGAATGACACTCAGATCCCAGTGAGTTGTGGGGATGGCCATGGGAGATGGACATCCGGACTAGCAGACATCAAAGCCTAGGAAAGAAGGGGTGAGGGTGTAATGTGGGGGACATACCCCATCTCTTTCCTGCCTTCTGCTACCTGGGACTACGTTGGATCTGTCTCTGAAGCTGGGAGACCAAAGGCTGAGAAGATAGTTCTAACTGACCACTCTTGATGCCAGCTTTGTCAGAAATCCTACATCATATGTGAAGAGTTAGGAGAGAGGACATGGCTGTTTTTCATTTCCAATAAAGGTAAGAATGGCAAAGACTGTTCACCCACCTCCCCTTGAGGGTATGAGAGAAGTGGGCAGGAGGAAAGCAGAGTGCCTGAGTGCCCTTCCAAAACACCTCACATGCTACGGGCAAGGACTGGGAGTGCAGACTATATAAATATATTAGCAGAAGAGCTCCAAGCCAGAATTAATAAAGCATAGCTGGGGCAAGTTTGCCTGAAATATGTCTGGGACTCTGGCAGTGAAAGCTAGCGCTGTTGGAAACCCAATAGTTGTGTTTGGGACTCAAGTATAGAGTGCAGGGGGCAAAGATAACTGGATCCCAGGACAGGACGTTTGGCAATGAGAACGAAGGGAAGAGACTGGGACCAAGATCCCTGGATCCCTGGAAATAGGAGGATGGGGATTGGGGCGGGGGGTGGGGGCAGGAAGGAGAGCTGGAAGAACCCAGAAGCTTGGGTTCTAGAATAGCAGCAAATGAGAATTTCAGCATCTCTGTCCACCCTCCTCTCCTTATCTCTATCAGGCAAGGGAGAGGAAAGGGGAAACTGGAGAATGACCAAACCGTGGATTTTGTCCCCAAGTAGCCACAAGAATACATTCAGGGTCAGATAGACAGATAGACACAGGAATGGTGGGGGAGAGAGGAATTTAGTGCTGCATTGGCCCTGGAGGAGGCTGAGATGGGTCAGGAGGCTGGGGAGGGGTGGTAGGGCTAGGTCCAGGGGTTGCACGACTCCGTCCTTTGCGGTGGCCCCGCACACAGTGTGTATGACCACAGCCCTCCTCTTCCTCCTCATCACTCTCCGTGGAGCTCTCACCAAAGGCCCGAGGTTTCTCATAAATACAGCAGCCTGGATTTGGAAGGAGAAGCCCAGTTAAATAGGAGAAAGGGTAAGAGGTAGAGTCAGTTCCACTCCCACTGCATCTCAGTAAGAATTCTTACTTCCACCATAGTTTCTTGCTATCTTCCAGCATCCAGCTCTCACAGGTTCACCCCCTGGCACTCAGACACTCAACTCTCTTATCCTTTTAGAGCCAGGAATCCAAAGCTTCACGTCTCCCACCTCTGATACTTCTTTGCCTTGGCACATCTCATCCCATTTTGAACCCTTTCGTACCTCTTTCCCCTCTAACTTTAACCTCCTCTCCCTGATGCCAGAGAACCACCAGGGCAGCGACAGGATTAGGGGCGTCTGGGAGTTTCAGGATGGCCAATGGACATGACAAGGTAGAAGGTATACACGTGGGAGGCAGAACTCCAGGGTTACTGTGGCCCAGGGTTACTATCACTCACATTTTGATGAGCGGCGCCCCATGTGTTCGTTGTCCACAGTATCACTTGTCCATTCCACCTTTTTCTCTGGCTTCCGTTTCCGAAGTTTGATGGTTAGGCTCCGGTTCTCCTGGAAGATTAATAAAGATAGAAATAGGCATACCTATGGAGTCCCTGCTGGCTGACCATTCCCACTCCCTCCCTGGGGCTTCCTCTTGGCCCTATCCCAGACCAATCAGTATCACAGACAGCAACAGAAGAACTGAGTGGTGGGAGAAGATGAAATAGAACAGGTCTCTGACCTCCTTGAGGAATCATAAAGTAGTATTTCCTGTTCTTGATAACCACTGGTATACAAAGAAGACAGAATTTCTAACCTAGGAAAGGTCCCAGCAAATCATCAAAAGGAAATATAGACCTTACTGTTTCTCTGTCTTCCTCCTCAAATCATCCTTAGTGGTATTAATACACAAAAATTATTTTCAGTCCGAATGCTTAATCTGATTCTTTTTTTCCAGACCCCTTATTTTTTTCCCATTAAAGAAAGAATTCCATTCTCACCTCTCTCACCCTCAAGCCCAGCTCTCCCTACCTCTTATCCACCTACTTCCTAGCCTCCTGGAATATCTATTATTCTAAACTCCCTTAATACAGGTGTTATTAAGCCCTATACAACCTTCTTCCTTTGAAAACAACTTAACCTGTTCTTGCAAAATGCTACCTTTTTCTGTATTTACATTCCCTCTGATTTTTCAAAATACTATCTTCAATTCCTTTTCATTTGTTCATTCTCTCTGCTTCCTTTTACACTTATCCTTTCAACAGAGACTTACTGGTCAGTATTCTTCCAAATTCTTCTACATGTAGCTGGCCTACAGCCATGCGTTCTTACACAATCCTTCATTCCCCCCCCCCCCCAGTATTTCCCTTGCTCCTTAATCACCAGATTCCCATTCTTCATTAATTACACACACCAAGCAGCACCATCTATATCCGAACGTGTCCCTTTACTGTCTCTGCCACCCCGAATAACCCCAAGACCTGCGATTCTTCCAACCCCATAAATTCAACCCCACTCCTCCCATATCCGCAAGCCCAGCCGCTCCAGCAACTCCAAAGCTCTATCACCTCCCCCACGGCATCTCCCAGACCCCTAAACAGCACCACCCCCCACCCTCCACCGCCTTTCTCACAGGCTCGGTTGTCACGGTAACCGTTGTCTCAGTGACGGTCTCACTCAGCCCAGCCCCTGCCTCGGCCATGGCTAAGGCTGAGGAAAGGGAGAAGGGGAGGAAGGCGGATGAGACACCCTTCTCTTGTTCTGTGTCTCTGGGGTCTACGAGGACCGGTATCGGACTCAGAGTAGCAAGAAGGATCCTCCACCTTCTTCTACCCCCTCCCCCCTTTCCCGGGCCTCCTCGTCCCCACCCCTGGGGGGGGAGAATAACCTGTCCAACCCCACTTCCGGCTCTCTGCTTCCGGGTGTGACGCATCCAGTAGTCGCCCTCTTCCCTTACTGGATACTAAAGACGTCAAGTGCCGGCGTCGGCGGATTAGTTTGGTCTTAATGAAACAGCGCAGGCGCTGCGCTGCAGGGAGGAGACAGAGACTTGGTTGACGAGAAGTCACGGTAGTGGTGATGGAGGAGGGTGGTCAAGAGCAGTAGGCGGCGCGCGTCCAGCAGGAGGAGTCGGTCACGATAGGAGAGCCGAGTTAGGCACTGCAGACCCGCTGCCGCCCCCATCCCCTGGGTGAGTGGGCGGACGGGGAAACTAAAGAGCAAAGGTAATGACCCTGCAATGGTCTCCAGTTTCCTTATTGTTTCGTATAGGAATTTCAGAAAACGGACCTAAGAGGATTTGGAAACACACTTAAAAACAACCTGGGTTCAAAAAAGAGTCTGGGTTAGTACTTGTAAGGTACTAGAATCTGTGCCTGTAAGTGTTCAAGCAGTATACCTGATCCACGTTCAACTTGGGATATTTTCCCGTGATCGCACCAAGCCTTGAAGATGGAGGCGCAAGAACACACTACCTTTAGCTCCCAGTCTAGTGGGAAAAATTGGCATGCTTAGCACTAACAAAACTGTAAGACATTGGGTTATTAACCCAATTTATATGGTAGATTTCTATGGGTAGATATAAATCTCATCTGTGAAATTGAATTTAGCTGCATATTGCCAACACTCTGGGATAATGGGAAAGGTAAACAGAAATGGTAAGAAATGATAACACATAAATCATAAATGATAAGCACAATTTATGCTATGATAAAAATATGTACATTTTTTTCAAGGAGCAAGAGTAGTTTAAAGGCAAGTGGCAAAGATACTTTTTGTAAAAAGCAGCTTACAGAGTCACAGGTGTGTATACTAAAGGACATGCAGTTGGGATGTAGCAAGCTGGGATGTAGGGGAGTGTTGAGGAGGCTTGACAGGTAGGCTTGGTTATTTGGATGCCCTGATGCTTTGCTAAAAAACTTGGACTTTATCTAGTCAATGTTATGGGCCAGGGAAAGGCTTAACATATAGTAGAAATAATGAGCAGATTTGTTTCACATTTTAGGAGTGGGGCAGGGAAGTCAACTGCCAGAACAGTTCAAAAGTACAATGCAGAAGATTGTTCTGCCCACCCCTCAAAATTGCTGAGAGGGTCAAACAAGATAGCATATATTTGAGAGCTCTGAATACACAAAGGGTCATACAATTACAAGATAATCATTATTACTCGCACAACTTCATCATCATTTAAGCCAAGAAATGTAGTAATACTGACTTCCAGACTAAAATTTGAATAAGTTTATTGTGCTTGGATTATATGTTTGGTTCCCTTTTAAGTTTTTGGTTCAAGCTGAAAGAAAGATACAACTAGGCCTATATAGTATAGCCCATTAAAATAACAAATCTCTCTGTGATTTTTACTTTTTTCTTTCTACATATGAATACATTATAGTTACATTTATCTTAAGAGGAATAAAAATAATTTCCAAAATGTCCACCTGTAGTAAGTACATACTCAAGTATCATGTATTTTGTTGTCCAAATTTACATATCAAATAGATCTGGTTAAATTTCCCTTTGAATCTCTCAGTATCCAAACTGCCATTTTTTGTTTCCTTATACTCAGGAACCAAATAGATTCAGATAGTGAGAAAATACTTGTAATTGCTCTTGTAATATTAGCCTCATTGCTGACTTCATTTTTCTTCTGTTTCTCATCTACTAGTTTACATCTTTTTGTAGCTGCTACATTTGTTGAAAGAACAATTATATCTCTATAAGCTCATTTAAATTACATTTGGAACAAGACAAATTATAATTAACACACATATGCCTGGGTCTTATAGAAAAATACTGTTTTAATAGGAAAACTCAACTAGGAATTGGAGCAACCTGGGGACAATGGCAATTCCCACATGATGATCTGCTTCTCTGGAAGCAAATATTGCAACCAGAGGATGGACAAGGATCTAAGAAACCAATATCTCCTCTTCTAATGAAGAGGAGAGGGAGGGATTGTTGAGTTGCCCAGAAAATAAAAAATCAAGAGTCTTCCTTCTCCTGGAACCTATGGAGAAAGAAAGGATTTCTTTGTTATATTGGACCAAAGGAAGAGGTTCTAGCAATGTAAGATAAACTACTCAAATAATGAAAGAAGGACTTTTATTTATGACCTGTGGAAGACTAGTTGCCCTAAACAACCCTTCAACTTCAAGCCAGCCAAAAATGCTCGGATTAAATATATATCTAATGAATTATGACATTGAAGAATGCAGAGATTTCTTGGGACAAAAAAAAAAGCACTAGCCATAAAAGTTTTTTTAAAGGATAAACTAGAACTAAAAAAAATTTAAGTTAAATAGGTAAGACTGGGAAAAATACTCTCAAAAGATATATCTAACAATAAATGTTTTTAATCCACTGATGAGATGGCAAGAAAGTAAAGGCAGTCTTCACATTGGGTAAATTATGTAAGAGCAGGAAATTAAATAGGTACGCTAAATTGAAAGAAACCCCTGCTACCACGGTTCTCTTGCTGTTTTGACAGCCATATGGAAGAACCTGAGACAAACCTACAATGTCTGATGGGAAATACTCTGCATAAATTTCAGATCCCCAAGGGGCTACCCTTCTGTGTAAAGGTGAAAAGAAAAAAAAATCTAACTCTGCAGAAGGGGAGCTTGTGTCACTGGTAGAGGAGGAAAAATCTCCCTTGAGATTTTCTAACCATAAGCTGGCCCTTACATGAATTTGCAGCCCAAATTCATACTACCTATGTATGAATTCATACTACCTATATAGTCCAAAAACAACCTGAAACCAAGAATTTCTTTGAAGTGATTCTGGCGTGGTAGTGCCTCAAAGCACCTGAACAGGAAACACAAATGTTGAGAATATAGCATTTACCCTACACCTCCAAGAATTCCCATACTCAGCATCAGACCCACAAAAACTGTGGGTATCAGAATTATGAGACTATGAATAGCATGTTTAATATATTTAAATGTAAATGTACTACATATTTTAAGAACAAAAATGATTTAAAATGATTAAGGAGTTGAAAACTATTAAAAATGCCTGAGGAAATTTCAAAAATCAAGTAGAACTCAAAACCATTTTAATGTAATAGTAATTGAAATAAACTGAAGACAGACTCAGTGACCTGGAAGAGAGACCTGAAGAAATTACCCAGAAGCAGCATAGACAGAAAGAGAAATAGAGGATAGACAGCCTAATGAACGACTAATTAATTAGTGTTCCAGTATGTGAGACTTGAGAACATAGAAAAAAGCAATATTCAATGAGATAATGGCTGACAGTTTTCCAAAGTTGATGGGAAAATTTTTAAAAAATCAAATCTTACTCTAAAAAATATGCAAGAAATCCCCCCAAATTTAAAAGTCATATCTTGATAAATTGTAGTAAAACTGCAAGATACCAAAGAGTTCTTAAAGCCATTAAACATCCTGTGTTCCTTAAATCATGCATGACTAATTCTCACTAAAGTACAACTTCCTTGAGTATAGTGGAAGATTCCAATATAACATGCTGAACACTAAGCAATACTTATCTTCTGTAGTTTTCATTGCCTTTTAAATATTTTAAAATGTTTAATTCCCTGGTATTAAAAAATAAGAAAACTGTAATTAAAAAAAATAAAAACGATGCCAAATCTCCCTATTACTAGAACTCTATAAAACATGAATGGGGCCAAAAGAAACAATTGTTTATTCAGTACAAAAAAAGTAAATCACTAGATTCGTTTAGTTAACATACAAGCTGAGAACGGGCGGAGGCAAGGGAAAGGATACGCACTTGCAGTTGGTACAGGTGTAGAAGACAGTCTGTCCTTCATCCGCTGAACGCATCTGTCTGGTGTGGTATGCCATTCCCTCATGACCACAGCGAGAGCAGCGCCTGTCAACCTGGGAAGCAACTGGGGGATTAGGGAGTCCTAGTCATATCCCCCTACTTGTCACAGGAAGTAGCTGATACACTCCCAAGGCACTGCTACTGTAAAGGCTCCTCTTCTTTCTTGGAATTGTGTATAAAACTCTCCAGATCTCTGTTTCTTTCCCACCCTCCCTGTGGGTCCCGTCCTTGAGGTCATTAACTTACCACAGGTCCCTGGAATTCAGGTCCTTCCTCCATCGATATAGGCATGGTTGTCCCTAGTTTGTGTAACACGACTGAGGTTTTCACAACTTTCTCTTCGAAGTCTGCACAGGCAGTTAAGAACTGGTTATACAAACACGCGGAGGGAGGTGATGCGCGCAACTCCCTCGGTTAGGACAGGTGACCCCACATCCTTCCCTTCAGGTTTTGACCCAAGATGGGAAGTATAAGTGCTTGATCTCCTACTTTAGTGTCCCATTACAATCGAACGGATCTAGAGGTCCCCAAACCCTCCGACCCTTCCTCCCTGGGCCCTCAGGTGGGGCTGCTGCCTAGTAGTCCCTCACCTCGCACGTTGATGGAGAAGCCACAGCGAATACAGGTGACTGTATCCTGAGATCCTGGTAGAGGCAGGACTGAGCCGCAATCAGGACAGAAATCCAGGTCTGACTGGAAGCTGGAGCAGGTGCGGACGAGGTCCATGACAGACAAGTGGTCAAGGGCTGGGAATGGAATGAGAAGGTTATAAACAAAAAAGAGAGAGAAGCCTCCTTCTCACTCAGGGCCAGGAATGACCTGGCATTAAGCACAGGGAATTTGAACCTCTCTCCCAAGTATGTCTTGTGACTCTGCGACTAAGGAGCGCGAGAGTCTGGAATTCCTAGCCCGCTTCGGGTACAGCCAGACTTGGGGCAGGCCAAAGAGCCAACCAACTCCGTGGGCTAGAGCGCCCCCTCTGCGCTGGCAGCGGGGCAGCGAGCACGAGGCAGGCTAGAGCGTCGATGCCTTACGGCTCGGGATTGGCTGTGACGTCATAGTTAAGCGCAAACCTGTTCGGAGAACCACGAGGAGAGGGTGGAGCGTCTGCGAAGGGAGGTATGTGTAAGCGCCTTCAGCTTGGTGCTGCGACTTTGGATAAGAAAACGGGTAATTAATTTGCCTACCACCACTTTTCCTCTTAGAACCGAAACCTGAGATGTGAATTTTCTTATTCTCGCATCTTACAGGGACCCAGTGTTGGGGGGGCGGGGAGAAAGGGGAGCGTTCCCCCGAAAATCATGCTAATCTTGCCGAATATTAATTTTTTAGGAACAGAGAACTACAACTCCCGCCATTCTTGAGCCTGTATTTCCCCTTTGGGGTTGCATGGTGGTTTAAAAAACCCCTGCCTGGTGTAGCTCAGTGGGTTGAGCGCTGGCCTGCCAACCCGAGTATAGTGGTTCGATTCCCAGTTAGGGCACATGCCTGGGTTGCAGGCCAGTTCCTGGCAGGGGACATACGAGAGGCACCCATACATTGATATTTCTCTCCCTCCCTTTCTCTTTCCCTCTGAAGATAAATAAATAAGATCTTTTTAAAAATGCTAAACATTTGGGAAGTTAGAGTTGTAGCACTCCTTGGGCCTCGAGGGCCAAATGAGGGCTTTCTGCTGAGTCCAACTTGGCTCTTGTGCTTTGGGTGCTCTTCCGGGCCTTCGTAGGGGGGTAATTCGGCTTCTTAAGGGACTAGAAGTGGTGAGGGTGGAAGCAGTGGAGGAAGCATTCCCTGGGCATGAAAGGAAGCAGTGATGACATGGGATAGGGCTCAGGACTTAGTAAGTGGCAAAAGAGAAGTGGTTGGACCACACCTCCCTAGAAACACTACTCAAGGTATTATCTTTGGGTAGGATTTCACTAGCGCTTAGGCCAAATTTGGCTTTCATTTACCTATTCCGTTGACTCTCGTCCAACCAACTCTCAATCATCATCATCATCATCCATTAGGTGGACAGTTGACATTTCTCAAATCTTTTACAAATCATTCCAAAAGCTTTAGAAAATACTGCTACTTTCAATCATCTATAAGTACAATCTAAACTGGAAACTTGTCTTGAAGGGACAGCTTCTGGATGGGTTTCATAGTTATCTCTCAGCCCTTCCATCCCCATCCAATCAGGTAGCTGTGTCTTTAAGCTCCTACGTTCAAATGTGGAGCCATCACTATTTTCTCCTCTGAAAGAGACAAGCTGTGGTCTCTCCCTAAAAAGCTCTGATCTTCCTTTCTCTGCAATAATGAAAAAATACGCAATAGTGAAGAACTTAAAAGTCTTGTAACTCAATGCAGGTCCAGCTGCCTGCTGCTTTGAAAGCCAATACTCGAGAGGCAGGTACTGATGTAAAGGAAAGTGGTTTTATTCAGGTGCCAGCAACAAGGAAGATGGACTCTCAAAGCCCATCTTAACATCTCAATGCAGGCAGGGGTTTTTATAAAGAGGGAGAGGGACAAGGAGAACAAAGAGATGGGGTGGGGAAGCTGTGGACATGCAGGCAGTGTCCTTGCAGGTCCTGATATGAATCTTTAATGCCAGCATACTGGAGTGGGTCAGTGCCAGCCAGATTCCTGCAGCCGGGTGATCTGCATTGACAGAAGTTGTGGTCAAGGCCATTTCTTGTACTGAATACTTGCAGGAACTGGAACTGCTGGTGCTTGCAACATGCTTACGAAGAAAATTCTTTTTATCAGTTTGTTAGGAGCTCTTATTTTAATTTTATTTCATGGTAAGTCATTAGTATCAAGTTTTTATTTCGAGTTACACTGACCAAGCTACCAGAAGGTGACAAGCCCCATAATTTCATTTACCTGAGTGTCATGTTTTCTGTCTTACAAAGGGAAGTCTGTTGCTGAGACCATAATGTAGGTAGACAATTTTTATTCTTACCTGTGTCTGTTTCCTTTGAAAATGAAAATTGAAATTAGTGCTGTTCCCTCACCAACTTTCCCTTTTTACTGAAGGTCCACCATGAGTTGAATACTGTCCTAATGTAGTAAAGGAACATGAGTGTTATGTATGAGTCATGGCTGTTTTCCATTGAAAACTCATAATCGGTTTAGTTAGTATTTATTAAGTACCTACACCAGTCTTTGAGTTGAGGCTGGGGCTGCAAAGTTGAAAACTGTTCTCTAACCTTAAAAAGTACAAATGACTATTTAGAATACAATAAATGTATATTAATAGGACATAATGTGAGGACATAGGACAGGCATATAAGACAAATATGCCTGTATACTTCAAGAAAGACTGGGAAATGTTTTAATAAAAATTAGGTACAATATTATGGGGATCATAAGAAAAAGATGCTCGGATATGTGATAAGGATAATCACTGATCAACAAATCATTAATTATGAAAGCTTGGGATCACAGACTAATATTAAGTACTGTGCTAGATGCTGTGTACTGAGAAATAAAAGAAAGATGGCTATTTCTTAAAATTTCTAAATAGATATACAGAGTAAGGGAAATAAGAATTTATTTCTTAGGTCTCACCTAAGAGGTCAGTGAGATCAAATATTTTCTATCATATCCTTTCTGATAATATGGAAACATTGTAGTTGTAGATATAAATGATAAATCCCACAGTTTATGAATCTGAATTTCAGTATCAGAATTTTAAAAGTGACATGAATACAGAAATCACAATGATTTATTTTCAGATGAGTTGTAGAATTAAAAATGTTATGTGTTCGGGGGGGAATGTTATGTGTTCAAGAGAAGGCAAAATCACTCTTATTCAGAAAGACTGTAGAGAGTTTGGGACTTGACCTCTGGAGGATAGACAACTGGCATTTATTGAGAACTTACCATATATCAAGCATTATGGTAAGCTCTTTAATTCTCATTTGTTTTTTATTAACCCAAGAGGCATATTTTTGTCTTATATCTCCATTTTATAAGTGCAGAAACTGATGTAAAGAGATTAAGTTGCTTGCTCTGTGTCACACACTTAGGAAGTGGTAGAATTAGGATTCAAGTATAGCCCTATCAGACTTCAAAGCCCATGCTCTTATTCATAAATAGTACTTTTAAAAAATGGGTAGAGGTGAAATGCCAGGCATCTATGGTAGCTTATGTATGACTTCACAGTAAAGTTAGATTAGACCAGGGATGGCATAAAAAGTTGGTAGTCTTCACTTGTGTTGCCATCAGCCTGGCCTATAATAAAGCACTAATTCCCATCATAAGGGGTTCTACAAGGAATGGATTAAAGGTGAAGGATGAATGGCTGTATAAGGAATACAATTTCAGAATAAAGATTAGAGGGCAGAGATGCTATATGTGTTGATAGAGGCAGAGAGGGCCTGGATCAAGAAACTGCAGAAACAGAATGAAGTGATAACAGTCAGTCTAGGATTATCTCAGAGTGGAGGATGGGGAACTAAGCAATCTGACATAGATGTGCTTGGGCAGTGCTTCACCAAGAAATCTGTTTCTTCCCTCCCCCATCCCCAACACAAGATTCAGAATGGTTTGCCTTTGAGTCTGCAAGTATGCTTTTAATTTATATGAAAGGATAATATGCTCTTATTTAAAAAGCGTTGATTTTATTATTGTCCACCATAGGAATGCAGTGGTTTCCATGGAGAAGTGACCCTGCCCTAGTCATACCTGTTAGTAGGTTTTCTCTTGCTAAATGGAAATATTGTTGGCCTTGGCCAAGACAGTTGGGTTTTTTGGTTCAGTCAGTATATGAGATACGTTCTGACACCTCCCACATTTTAATCTATCTTTGCTTTTTTATTTTTCAGGTTGGACTAGGTTAAAGCATCGAGAGACCCCAGGATTGCTTCAGGCCAGCAGAACCCACTGGAGAAAAAAATATTGGTAAATAAGTTATCTTCACATCATACAGTTTGGAACTACTGAGAGGAAGAACCATAGGCTTAAAGTCTTTCTGCTGAAGTGACACCTCGAGTATCATGTCTACACTGACAATGTTTTCTAGCTATATCCATACTTGCAAAACAAAGTATTATTTTGAAAACTCCCAGCACTATATAAAAAAAACTAGTTACTGATTTTAGTAGTTCAGCTTTCAGAGTTCACAGGCTCCACCTAGGAATGATGGAAGTAAAATCAGTGTTTTTATACCAAAGTAAATAAAAGACCACTCATCTTTTCTTGGTGTCAGTAGTCAGGGCAAGCTCCTGTTTAAATGTGTTCATTATAAAAAAAGATAGTCACACTATAAATTCTGTCCTTCCCTCTGAGAGAAGCTAGGTGATGTACATACAAAAGCAGCAAGACAACTGATAACTCAAAATAATCAAGAAGAGTATGAAACACTCTGTAGGGAGCAAAATCTTTCCCTTGCCTACTGGCTTGCCCAAGCAGGGTATTATAGTAAAAGATTGGTGGAAATGATGAAAGAACAAGAGATAGGCAGTGAAATTAAGAAGAAATTGGAGCCCTGGCTGATGTGGCTCAGTGGATTGAGCACGGGCCTGCAAACCAAAGGGTTGCCAGTTTGATTCCCAGTCAGGGCACAGACCTGGGTTTTGGGCCAGGTCCCCAGTAGCTAGTGCGCGAGAGGCAACCACACACTGATGTTTCTCCCCCTCTCTTTCTCCTTCCCCTCTATCTAAAAAAATAAATAGAATCTTTTTAAAAAAAAGAAGAAGAAGAAAGAAGTTGGAGGGGGAAACAACCCAAGTATAGAGATTTAAAAATGGCACTATTTGGTACCTGAGAGAGATGAAACACATAGGCACATACATCAAATGGGACAGGTCAAAGAATTTAAGAAGAAAGCATTTGGACAATTACTTTGATTCCCTAGTGTCACATTCTCAAAAATTTAGCCAGAAGAGCATGGTGTCTAGAATGGACAGAGAAGAAAACAGGTAAAGGAGAGGGAACAGATACAAATTAAGATCACCAGGAATGTGTGATTCAAGGGAGAGAATTTATAGAGCAAAGACTGAAGGAAACATTCTTAAGCCAGAACCAGCCACCTACAGCAAAGAAGCATGGGAGAATAAGGAAAGAGATACAAGAATTTGAAAGTGTTCTTGTATATCCACTTTTTTTCAGCCAGTCAGATTAAAATTATGGAAAAGTCTCAATACAGAAGAAGAAAGACAGTTATAAAACCTTATTAAAAAATTCATAGCTATGCCACCCTTTTTTGAGAAGTCAAGAAAAGTAAAAGATTAGTAGAGTTTCAGTGCTTTTCTGATAAAAATGTCTCTTAAATGAATTTTTAATGCTAATTCTCATCTATCCCTAGAGTTTAGTGCATAGTCCCATTTTATATCAGATACTGAAATAGTAAATATTTTTGGCCTTAGAAACTAGCTTAGTATTTTTATTCCTTTTAATTCTCTTTGATATTTCCTCACCTGTAAAAGTGGGATTAATAATATTTTTTAGCATTTACGGGTAAATTATGATTTCTGTGAAACATTAGCATATGGTAGATGTTTCATGAATGTTAGTTTCCCCAGTTGGGAAGACCTGGCTTGAGCAGTGATGGTGAATAAGGAATTGTTCTAATCTGCTTCTCCCATTCTCGCTGCTGTCAACCCTGGGAGATTATCTTGATGAAATTGCTACAGGTAAATATATGGCCTTTCATTTCCCATTCCTAGTGTCACATTCTCTTTATCAGGAAACTATTAACCATGTCCTAAAAGTCTAACTTGCACTGTGTAATTTATTTATATGAGAAACCTAATTCTGAGACTCTTCTATATGCCAGGCATTGTTAGTTGTTGGGAGTGAATAAAGAGAAGTCCTGGCCCTTGAATAGGTTGCAACTAGTGGCATAGAGCACTCTCTAAGTAGATAGTAAGATGTGGTAAGGGTTATGGTAGGGGTATGTAGGGAACTGTACAGAAAAGGGTCACCTGATCTAGACTAGGTGAGCAGGATGAGGAGGAGGAGGGAGGTTAGAGAAGGGAGTACTGTAGTCTCAATTTTCTTCCAGCTCCACATATTATCACTATCTGTCATCCAAGTAAGCAAGACCTTTCCAATGTTTGAATCTACTCAGAGCTAACCAAACTCACCCTCTCTCAAACAGATTTATTTATACCCTGATAAATCAAAACCAATTTATGAATTTAATGAAAATTTTAATTACCAAGCAGAGTGAAATTTGTTTACCATTCAGTTCATTTTTTTTTCAAATAACCACAAAGTGGGAAAAGGAGAGGTTCCAAGTTGGTGAGTAGACAATCAGAGAAATGGAAATTGGATGCTCTAAGGAATATACCTAATTTGTGATGTTCCTGATGCCCGCCCTTCTGTACTAGCAGGACACCCTTCACGAGAATGTTGCTAAATCAGCAGTCTGATAGAACTTTCTGCAGTGTTGTGTTCTATTTTTGTTTTTAGTGTGATAGCTACTTTACATATGTGGCTATTGGGCAGTTGAAATGTGGCCAGTACAACTGTGGAACTAACATTTTTATTTAATTTTAAATCATTATATGTTGCAAGCATGACACTAAATATAATTCCTGTGTTCTAGACTTCAGTCCCACAATCAACTTCCTGTCTTTGACAATATTTGCAGGTGTGATAGATTAATGCTCATTTTGTATTAGTATCAGTTTCATTTCTGTATTTGAGAGGCTCCCTAATCCCTTGAAGAGATTCCAAAAGCACTGTAGAGGACTTCTGTGTGGAAATGAGATGGCTGAAGTTGCTTAAATTAGGTTCAGGAACTGGATCTTTGTTTATTCTAGAATTTGACCAGGACCCATACCAAAATTTCATTACTACCCACCTGATTTGCCTCATGCACACTTTTTTGCCCATGTCTGTACCCTGGTCTTCCATTACCGTGTCCCAGCTTTAGGTTGTAGACCTTTCAAAGAGATAGATCATCAGAGTCCATGAGGTAAAGAGACATTCAAATCAATAGGGCAGTAACCCTTTGAGTTCAGTGGACTGAAAAGTAATATAACAGAACTACCTTGGATTCTATTGCTGTGGGTTCTATTGCCTGCCGCTGAAAAGAACTGTAACTCCCAATGCCAGAGTATTATGAAAAGGAAAGGAACTGTTTGTTTAAAAGTTACATAGGTTTAGCCCTGGCTAGTGTAGCTTAGTGGATTGAGTGCCTACCTGTGAACCAAAGGGTCACTGGTTCAATTCCCAGTCAGGGCACATGCCTGAGTTGTGGACCAGGGCCCCAGTAGGGGGTGCATGAGAGGCAACCACACACTGGTGTTTTCCTCTCTCCTTCCCTTCCCTCCTGTCTAAAAATAAATAAAATTTTAAAAGTTACATAGGTTTAGAATATTGGCAGAATTCTGCCATTAAACCCCATGCCTTTTAGAAAACAAAAAACACCCGCAAATACAGTCCTGCCTCCCCTTGCCAAACCAGGCAAATCAGAGGTACAGTCTTTTGGGAAAAGAAATAGAAACCTGTAGCTTAGCTGGGCGGATTCCCATCTGTATTCCAGCTTCTTCCAGTTGTTTGTGCTCTGGTAGTATTCCTCTCTTAATCCAAAACTGCATCTTCATGATGGGCCACTGGGGGTCCTTCTGCATCCTTTCAAACTGCGAGACCAAGACCCTGCACAGTTGCTACATGATCAAGAGCATGCAAGAGACTCTCATGGTTCTCCTAGTCTCCTCCTGACATGGTGCAGAGCTCTAGAATGACTGCTGCACACTTGGGTGTAAATACCACATGGATCTTCCTCCGTAACCCCATTTCCTACTGCTCCCACAAAGGCTTATGACAGGGGACTTAAGAGTTGGAAGATTTTAGTTTAAGGTAAACAGTTATAAGCCTAGCAAGGAGTATATATGTTAAAGCTTTTGTTTCAGAAACTATAGATAGATAAGGCCCATCCTTACTCCTGGGAAAGCAGCCAATCTCCTGGGGCACTGCTAAAGATAACCACCTGGGGACAGGTGGGCATGGGTAACCAAGTTCTTGGTGACTGGGACAAAGAATTGAACCAAACACCCAGAGTTTATAGCAGAGAACATGGGAGCAGGCCATCTCCAAGCAGAGATTGACCTCATGGACAGGAGGGACTCTATTTTTATAGGGCGGATCCTTCCTGGATAGTTTTGGCAGGCTTTTACTGCACAGGTACAAATAGTTGTATTACTTTAAAGCTACTGCACATGTGGTCTCCCATGATTTTCCCGGATTGGCCACCAGGGAAGGGGGTCCCACAATGTTACCAAATTGACCCTCCCCTTCTCCTGTGGTTCCCTTGTACTCAGTTCACCTTGCCCTTCGCCAGAGAATTATAGCTCTCCATGTTAGAGATTAGTGAAAAGGAAAGGAATTATTTAAGTTATACAGACTTAAGAGTAATGACTTAATGTCCTCATCAAAGTCCTTTAAAACACCCACAAACACACACAGTCCTTCTTCCCCTCTTGGCCTGGTCTGGGGTACCGTATCTCAGGAAAAGAAATAGAAGTTCATGGCTCAGGCAGCCCCTGGTTCTTCCCAGTAATCCATGCTTGGCTGGTAGGCCTCCCTCAGTTCCTGGCACCATCCCTGTGTTGCCAGGAGCTCTAGTTCTTATTCCAAAACCACATGGTACCTTCTCATGGCTCACCAGCAAGAGTCCTTTCACCCCTTTCCTTCCTTCAGTGTCTCTCCTGCATTCTTCCGAACTGCTAGAGAGAGCTCTGCATCGCTGCTACATCTTGCTTTTCAGCTTCCTAGGCTGCATGACAAAGGAAGACCCAAAGCCATGTGGTTCTCCCCTAATAAAGCTGCATGATTCCTCTGCTAAAGCCACGTGGTTCTTCTTGTCAAGGCTGCCACACCTGGGTTTAAGTCCCAGTGCCAGTCGTCCTCTGCAGCACCCGTTTCCGACTCCTCCCACAATTGGCTACACTTGCCAGCACTCATATTTTTCAGCTTCTCTGGGCTGCCAAGGTAAGTCTGGGCAGGTGTGGCCCTGTGGTGTGGAGCCAATCATCTCCAAGCTCTTATGAAAGCTCTGTAACCTGGGGGGAGCTGCCTCCCAGTTACATCTTGGGTGGAAGTCACTCCCTGCTCCCTGGCTCAAAGCATGGCCACAGCTATTTAACATATGTATGAAACCAGTTAAAGGTTATGCAAAACTGTTGCCATGCAAAACAACTCAATGGCCCTGTTGCATGTATTCTGTCCCCCAGCTCAGACTTGTGGGGGTGAAGGCATCCCATATTTTTAATATTTCCTGGATACCCTGAGTTCTAGACCCCATTACAGATCCTTCTTTTGGGGGCCCCCTGACTGCACCCTCTTATAATTGTGTACCAAAGAGAGACAGATGACCACCCTTCTCTGGGAATAGGTAACTGCCCGGGACAAAAATGTTGCTTTTTTTTTTTTTTTAACCTAATTCTCCCTGAACATCAAAATCCCTCACTGCACCTTGTTTATTCCCTGGTATAAAAACGTTGGCCTGGAAAGAAAAGACAAGATGGTCTGTTAGGGTATGAACCTGCCATCTTCTCAGATTGCCAGCCATCTGAATAAAGAGCCTATAAAGATTCAATCTTTGTCTCTGCTTATTGAGTTTGATAGTAACAGGCTGCCTGAACAGGGGTGTCTTTTCCAGTTTCAGTTACACCTGCCAGTAGTCTTGTCTCTTCTACCTTTCTTGGCTGCCATTGTTAGTGTGGGCAAGCATGGCCCTGACACAAACCACCTCCAAGCTGCTGCCGCAGTTGCATCAGCTGGAGCTAGTGGGGGTCCACCACTCGGCTGCATCACAGGTTAGAGTCACACCCATCTTTCTGGCTCCAGGGCAGGCACAGCTTTTAGTATTACTAACACACTGGCCAAGTTCTTTAGCTGTGCAAAATAACTCAGTGGCCCTGCTCTGCTTCCCCTTTCCTCAGCCAAGTGGGGGAACTTCCCCATTTTGGGGACCCCAATATTCCCTGTTATAGTAACTTAATGCATTACTGTTAGTAATTGATTACCATGAAGATTTTCAGTGCTGTGCATACAAATTGGTGAGTTCAGTCACCCTCTCTTCTGACTCTAAATCTAGCATAAAAGCAGCTGGTGATCTCAGGGCAATTTCATACTAGGTTCACTTTGCCACTGCCAGCGGAAAGACTTCTCTCAATACTAGAGATTGGTGTAAAGGAAAGGAATTATTTATTTACAAATTACACAGGCTTAGAGTAATGACTTAGTCTTCATTAAAATACTAAAGTTCTTTAGAATACCCACAAAAACACACAGTCCGTCCTTCTCCCCTTTGTCTAGTCCAGGGTACTGTATCTCAGGAAATGAAGTAGAAGTCTGATTCAGGCAGCCCCTTGGTTCTGGAACCATCCGCTGTGTTGCTGCCACGATCTCCAGTTAATCCAAAACTATGTGGCACCTTCTCATGGCCCACCAGCAGGAGTCCTTTCACCCCCTTTCTTCCCAGGCAAAGTCTCTCCTGCTGCCTAAGCTGTGTGGCAAAAGGGAGCACCCCAGAGCCATGTGGTCCTCTCACCCAAGCTGTGTGGTCCCCACACAGCCACACCTGCCACACCAGGTCCCCACTCCTGCCACAGCCACGTGGACCCAACTCCTCCAAAGCCATGTGGTGATTCCCCTCATGGCTGCTGATTCTGGGTTTAAATCCCTGCTCCAGTCTTTCTCTACAGCCCCATTTCCAATTCCTCCACAATCAGTTACACCTGCCAGCCTTCCAGTATCCTTCCAGCTTTACTGGGCTGCTATGGTAAGTCTGGGTAGGAGTGGCCCCATGGTGTGGAGCCAATCATCTCTAAGATCTCACGCAGGCGCTGTAACCAGGAGGAGTTGCTTCCCAGTTACTGCAATGGGTTGAAGTCACACCCACCCCCTGGCACAAAGCATGGCCACAGGTAGTTAACATATCCATGAAACCAGTTAAAGGCTATAGATACGTTAAATGACCATGCCAGAGGTTAACTGCAAAGCTGTTGGCCGTCCAAAACAGCTCTCAATGGCCCTGCTCCATGTGTCCCATCCCCCTGCTCAGACTGATGGGAGTGAGGACATCATGTACCTATATATTTTTCTCTAATATTTCCTGAACACCCTTGAGTTCTGGACCCCATTACAAACCTTTATTTGCCCCCCCCCTTGGCTGCACCCTGTTACAGGACTGCATTTGTGGATATTCTAAAGAATTTTAGTATTTTAATGAAGACATTAAGTCATTACTCTAAGCCCGTATAATTGGTAAATAAATAATTCCTTTTCACCAATCTCTGGCATTGGGAAACATCTTTCCTCTGGTGGAGGGCAAAGCAAACCTAGTATGGAGGGGGAACCCCCTGGAGAAAAGGAGGGGTCATTTTGGTAATAATATGTCCTTAATTCCCCCTGTCGCGGTCTGTTCTGTAACACTTCCTTCTCCCTCTGCCCAGTCTGGGGTACCATATCTTAGGAAAAGAAGTAGAAGTCTGTGGTTCAGACAGCCTCTCAGTTCCTGGCACCATCAGCTGTGTTGCTGCCATGATCTCCAGTTAATCCAAAACTGTGTGGCACCTTCTCATGGCCCACCAGCAAGAGTCCTTTCATCCCTTTTCTTCCCAGCAAGGTCTCTCCTGCTGCCTAAGCCACATGGCAAAAGGGACCACCCCAAAGTTGTGTTTTTTCCAAAAAAAACCAGCATGGCTGCCATGCCTGGGTTTAAATCCCAGCACCATTCTTTCTCTGCAGCCTCATTTCCGACTGCTCCCACAATCAGTTACACCTGCCAGCATTTCTGTATCCTTCCAGCTTTACTGGGCTGCCATAGTAAGTCTGGGCAAATGTGGAGCCAATCATCTCCAAGCTGTCATTTAGGCACTGTAACCAGAGAGAGTTGCCTCCCAGTTACAACATGGGTTGAAGTCACTGCCATCTACCTGGCTCAAAGCAGGGCCACAGGTAGTTAACATATCCATGAAACCAGTTAAAGGCTATAGATATGTTAAATGACTATGCCAGAGGTTAGCTGCAAAGCTGTTGCTATGCAAAACAGCTCTCAATGGCCCTGCTCCATTGTGTCCTATCCCCCAGCTCAGACTGATGGAGGTGCAGACATCCTATATATTTATATTTTTCTCTAATATTTCCTGAACACCCTGAGTTCTGGACCTCATTAAAAATCCATATTTGGGCCCCCCCTTGGCTGCACCCTGTTGCATATGTGCATTTGGAGGAACAGTAGAAGATGTCCAGGTTTCTACTGCTCAGGCTGAGAAGTGGAACATTACCGCACTCTAGAGCTCTGTGCTTGCCCCATTCACATCCCTCTCCTCAGCCCTGGAGGCAATCACTATCCTGAATTTTGTAGTAATTGTCAACTTTTAATAGTTTTTACCATATATGCATGTACAATTGACCCTTACACAATGCAGGTATTAGGGGCACTGACTCTCCTAAGTTGCCAAATCTGCATATAACTTTTTAAAACCTTTTTTAAAAAGGATTTTATTATTTTTAGAGAGAGGGGAAGGGAAGGAGAAAGAGGGAGAGAAACATCCCTCGGTTGCCTCTCGTATGTACCCTGAACAGGGAGCATACCCGCAATCTAGGCATGTACCCTTATCAGGAATCAAACTAGCGACCTTTCCATTTACAGGACAACACCCAACCAACTGAGCCATTCTGATCAGGGGCTGCGTATTACTTTTCACTCCCCAAAACTTAACTACTAATAGTGTACTGTTGACCTTACCAATAGTATAAACAGTTGAATAATACATATTTTGTACTTTGTATGTATTATATACTGTATTCTTACAATAAAGTAAGCTAAAGATAAGACAATGTTATTAAAATCATAAGGAAAATACATTTATAGTACTATATGTACTTATTGGAAAAAATCACATATGAGATGACCCATGCAGCTCAAAACTATGTTGTTCATAGGTCAGCTGTATTCCTGACATAATTGTTAAATAGTTGCTTGTTTATAGCCTTCATGTAAATGAAAATATATTGTGTCTGATTTACTTCCTTTGCTCATTAACATTTTTCAGTTCATTCATGTTAATATGTGGCACACTAGTTCATTTTTTTTCTCAACCTCCCAGTCTGTTGGAGTGCTTCAGAGCTGAGTCTTAGACCTTTTCCCTTCACTTGCTTTCTCATTAATCTCAATGAGTCTTAAGGCTTTAACATCATCTATACCCTAATACACCAGTAATCCAAATGCATATTTCCAGTGTAGTTCATTTTCATGACATAAAAATATGCCAAAGCTTAATGACCTTTTCTGCTGCTGGTGCCATTTGGGTTGTTTCCAGCTTTTGGTTTGTTACTATCTTTTACAAATGGTACTTTGGTAAACATTCCTTTAACATGTTTCTGGTGCATGTGTATAAGTGTTTCTCCAAGGTATGTAAGTTGTGGTACATCTGTTATTACAGCCTTGGAGTTTGTTAGATTTTTATCCCATTGTGGTTCTCCCAAACCCATAGGTCTGTTCGGTAGAGTCTGGCACATACTATACTTAGTGGATATTAGTTGTTGGGGGATGACATTTGTTAACTGCTGGAAACAGAACTGTGTCCAAGAGATCCAGCCCCAAAATACAAAAACAGCTGATAATATACCACTATACCTTTCTGTCTGTGCACAGTCATAGTCACCCTTTTTTATAATCTTATATTTCAGTTGAGGTACTAAAATATATTTATTTACTTAATTTAGCTTTTAATATCCTTCCAATAAATTCAAGATTTGTTTCTTCCTCTATCTCCTTTCCTAGGATTCTAGAACTTCCTCTCTTTTTAAAAAAATCCTCCCCTGAGGATATATTTATTGAATTTGGAGAGGAAGGGGGAAAGAGAGAAAGAGAAACATTGACTGGTTGCTTCCCATACACACCCTGACTGGGGATCAAACCTTCAACCTAGGTATATGCCCTGACCAGGAATTGAAACTTTTGGTGTATGGGATGAAGCTCCAACCAACCGAGCCACCCTACCAGGGTCCAGAACTCTTTCTTCACTGCCTTCTTGACAAGGTCACCCATGTGTCCTCTTGAGATACCTGGCAGCATCATAAAGTTTCCCTAAAGTCTTAATAAAAGGGTTTCTGGAGGAGTACCAGGAGTCTCCTTTTAATACCAAGGTGCTAAAGTCCCTGGAGATTCAAGGACTCTGTAACAGTTCCTTGGTGTCTGCTGGACAAAAGTCTAAGTTTCTTAGCCCTGAAGCATTCTATGACTTAGCCCCAATAGAATATTGAATTTGGAATTTGAAGATTTGTTTTGGGTTTTAACTCACCACATATTGGCTGGCTGATGTGAAGAAGCCCTTACTTACCCTTAGGTTCACAATTGGGTTAATAAAACCTTTCTTACCAAATTGTTCCCATGAGGTAAGAAATAAAGTGCTTTATAAGCATAAAATGCCACAATATGAATTATTGTCCTATCAGTTTTCTTCCCCTCTTATGCTGTGCTATAAATTTCTACTCAAACAAAAGCATGGAAACTCCATAGTTTAAGTTGAAAATGCTAAAGAAGGTGAATGTTTTTTTGTTGTTGTTGACTTGTATGAGTTGTTT